GAATCTGGTCCAACATTGACGTGTACATACCCAGTAGTGGGTTACACAACGTTCAGACAAACTGGAAAAACCAAAGAGCTACATCTCAAATTCTACTGGCCTCAGTTAGCATGTTAATGTTAAAGCCAAGGAAGTACAAGGAGAGAACAAAAAGTCACGTCTAAATTAACCAAAAGACTTTCTGGAAGCTTTGGCCTGGGAAAACCAATTTGGAGATCTTTAGTCATAATGCACAGCAGTAGATCAGGTGGAACACAGGACCTGGGTACCTCGCAGAAACCATCAAACTCTTCTGTATGCAAAAGAATTCTAGAATTGAATGTGAGGCGGCTAGAGTTTGGCTGAAATTGGGTCACTGGCAGGAAAATGATCCCAAACACAGCAGCTAATCTACTACAGGAAGTCTGAAAAAGAAAAAGAACATGGTGTTGCAGTGGTCTAGTAAAAGTTAGGAGCCTCATATTGTGGCAGGATATGCAAAAAGCCGTGAACAAACAAATGCATTGCGTCTTGATGAAATGAAGCTGCAAAGAAAAAGAGCCCTAAAACAATTGTTCTGTAAATCAAAGTGTTCATTTCACACTTTCTAAAGTTTAAGACCAGATTTGAACCACCTTTTTAAAAAAATCATATCTTAACAGATATATAATCTCAAGCAATCTTTTCTAAAATGTATGCACGTAAATAATTAAAACTTAAGTTTTCCTGCTTCTCTCACTTCACAGGAAAAATGAGAAAGGAGAAAATTCCTCTCGCATGAGTGTAGAAATAAAAGCCCCGCGTCCTTTGGCCCATCCATCTGTTATGGATGAAATATTTCGGCTGAAGCCGCGACGATAACAGAGCCATGAACTATAAACCCTTCAAGATCTGCTCTTTCCATATGATACAAGTCAGCTGCGTGTTCAACGTCATTTCACTACCAAAGCTCCCCGCTGCACACTTGACTCTGAACGACTCCTTGGCTTCCAGTTGATACGGGATACTTTTCCACAGCCACGATAACCAGCTGTTATGGATTTATATCATAAAGTGAAACAACAATAAGCTCAGCCCCGCTCCAGCACATGTGCTTCTTATCAAAACGCAGCTGAGAGAATTCAATTAAAAAAACATTTAAAAATAGGTTGACGAAGCAACAAGTTTGTTTCAGAAGTTCATTTTTATTTTATCTAAGCTTCAGACATCTTGGAGGGCACTTGAAGTGTTTACTGTTATTTCAGATGTGCCTCATGTGTCAGAGAGGATCCAAAAAGCTGTCATTTTCAGTCATGAAAAAGCGTGTCCACTCCACAGTCTACTAAAGTAGAATAAACCCAGATTGTGAGACGTTTTTTTGCCTGATAAGACATCTTACCTTGACCCCATACTTGACTTTTCCGGCGTAGTGTCTGATGATGAAGGCAGGTTCCATGACGGCGGGGAACTCGATGTAGCTGTTTCCTTCATGCTGACGCTTGAACTTGTCCAGCAAGGTCTGATTGGAAGCTTGGGGGAAACTAGAAAGACATTTTTTTTGTTAGTGAGATTTCAAACTGCTGCATAAAAAAGAAACTGTTTTAAAGTAGACATGACCTCAATGTTAATTTTATGATTTTACAGTATATCCACTTCTCAGGGTGCTATCCCTGCACCTATTTATGACATATTGAAGTTCCCAAAGGGGCTTTTTTTCAGATCTAAAGGTAGAATATGTACATGAATAACTTGTGCTCCTATCCTACGCTCAGAGAAATCATTCTGTCAATAATGTAACATTGTGGCTTTCTAACCAGCGCTACGGTGCCCCCACTCACGAAATCTTCTTTGGTGGTTTTACCATTGATTTATGGCCATTGTACCCATTTGTACCTAACCTCTGCCGTTGGGATCAACATTCCAAGAGATGTTTCATATCACCTAAACCTACTCCCCCTGCACTCTGATACTGCTGCTTCAAGAATATTTTCTAGGTTTCGGGAGCTTGATGTTGTTACTGTAGAAAGGAAGCCCCCCCAAAAGACACTCCTCCCTTTCTGCTTTCTGCAGTAACCTAATCCATCTCTCAGGAGGCCCTGAAACCTCACAAGCTCCAGTAACTGTGAAGGATGAGATCTAGTAAGTGTCCCCCCCATTTAGTCAGTACGAGGCCTCTTCCACTCGCATTATAAAACCCCAGAGACACAGATGCCCATCTTAATTTGAGGAAAGATCCCCCTTTGACCCAGATTCTCAAAAGCTGACCCCTTCCTCTATCTCGCACACCCCCGCAAATACACACTGAGCGTTTGGTAGGCTCCAGGCATTATGGGGTTCAGATGAAGCAGCTATGCTAAGTGGCAGGTGAGGTGACAGCTAACAACGATAAATACGGCTTTTGTGCACGCCGCCTGGTGCGCTTTCAAGCGAGGGGGGTGGTAAGAGAGTGGGATTTGATTTAGAAAGGGGGAAGAAGGATGCTGAGGCAAACAATAAGCAGGTAAAAGAGAAGTAATTTGGTGACGACGCTGGAGGAACAAAGGCATCTTTTCCCCTTTCGTTTAACAGTGTTAAATCACTTGTGTTATTCAGGCCTATTAAGCAGGAAGAGCAGTTAACTGCCATTTGTACAAAGTATTTTTTTTTAAAAGCACTTTTCCCAAGACCATTAGTGCAACCGAGAAAAAAAACAGGTATTGAATGAACTTATCAGAAGACTTAAGTCATTATGTTTAATTTGTTACCACCAACAAGCGTGCATTCCTAACCAGTACAGACCTGACTCTGTGTGATCTTAAAAACTCAGTCTTAAGAAAGAAAGAAAAGAATGATTTCTTCCCGTTTGTATTTATATGAAGCAACAAAAATATCAGTAAAACACTCGGAGTCATAATAATTTAAATACGGAGTATCCACAACAGATTTCACAGTAACCCAGCAGCTGGTTAAAGCATTAATATTGAAGCCAGTTTGGCTCCAGTTTCAAGATAGATTATTATTCATAATCTGTTCTCTTTCAGTACTGCTCAATATTCATATTAGAGAGGATATAAAAGAAAGAAATACAAAGAAATGACATTTTCTTTGTATTAGATACTAGTAACTATGCTGAAAACCAGATGAGGTGTGTTGGTATGTGTCAAAATCAGCAGGTGGCATACTTGCACTCCTCATCCAGCAGGTGGAACAGGGCTGTGGGTTTCTTGCTGATGAGGTTGAGGCAGCCGCTGTTGTCGATGTAATCGATGTTGTGCCAGGTGATGCCCTCCGCCCTGTACTCCTCCTGCGACGAGAAACGCAAAGAAAGCAGGGCAGTCAATTATAAAAACAAGAACAGACAGCTGAAAATGTATTGAGCGTTTGGTTATTTACTCTCCAATTATCAGAGATGTACATGACAGCAGTTTAAGGGGCCGAGTGGTTTCCTCGAGGTCCTTCCCTGATTGAGTTGTTTTCCTGTACCGACACCATCTCATGGGACCCCGAATGAGACTTACGTGGGTAAGAAGGTTTAATAGTCGAGCATACTTTCCAAGGTGTTGGACCAGAAAAATCCAGGCCATGGCTTCACTAGTGAAAATACCTGAATCGTACCATATGAAAATACCTGGCTGCTCTTTGGTGGCCAGAAAAAAGAAAAGAAAAAAAAAGGTGTTTTTGGATAGAGATTTATGCTCACAGGGGCCAATGACAGCAGTGGTATATGACCCATGTCCCTTTAATGGCCACAAGGGAGAAACCAGTGAGAGACACCAATTGGAATGCCTCACCAGCTGGGATGAGCTTTGGAAAAAGTGTGTGTGTGGTTGTAGGAATGGGGTTGTTGGGTACATGGACTACTCTCTCCTCTCCAAGGGAAGCTGCTGTTGCGGTACATTTGAGAAAGGCATGTAAACAGTACTTGCTCCAGTGGTTCATGGGCCGTGATGCGTCTTACTGTTGGACTGAGTGGGGCAAAAACGTATTCTTAGCCCCGAGTCAGCTACACCGAACCAGTCTGGAATAAAAAACATCTTTTAAAAATGCGGCTTTGCATCAGGCTGATCAACGGGAGACCGTTTCTCTTGCTACTCAAACCAGTGAGTCACCACAAGCTAAACCATTTGTATCTCTTGAAAACACAAGCTTACACCCTTCATCTCAAATGCAGCACGACTAGAAAAATAGTTTTTTTGTGTCTGTTTCTAAAAAATATTTAGACTCTGTTCAGATATACAAACATGAGAAAGTAAGGTAATAAATTCATAACAAGAATAAGGAGCACTTTACACAGCCACCAAATATTCTGCATTGTTGTGTGTTCTACCCTGTGTTTTGCGTTTCAATTTTGTGTTTATTTTTGGATGCATCCATTAGTACATGCTCGCACCCTTTTATGCAGTGGGTTTGGTTTTTTGGTATCTTTTTAAACCGCAATGTGGTAATGGAATTAAGAACTGTACTCTTTCCAACCGATTAATAAAAGGCACATTGGAACATTCTTTTAAAATATAAAACAAAACATGTCTGTCTTCCCAGTCCACCCGCCCCCCCCCACCCCCTTTTTTTGGTTGGTGAATCACATAGAAAGCATCTAGAACACTTGGAGCGTTTCGGTTCTTCGCACACAGGTTGAACGGGCTCATGTGGAATGAAAACACAGCCATAAAAAAAGCTCCATACGTCTGTTCTCGGGTTTAAGACTCATCAGGCCGATAGAGTTAAACCGGCTCGTTTTGTTGCGTCTGCCAGACCGTTTGTGAACACATGTGTAGACGCACATCAACGTAAACAGCCCGTGTGAGGCTGTGAAGCTGTGACTCATCTTGAGAAGCAGGCGAGAGCGGTAAAAGGTCTTCAGTAAAAGTTTGACTAAACAACAGAATGGCTGGGGCTTCGTATTGACGTTACACACACATTGCCACATCCAGAAGGTTGGTAACAACTTCTTAGGGAGTGCTTCAATTATAGGATTCAAAGGAATCCTAAGGATCCTAAACCAGCAGCATATTGGCATCAGACATCAAGTCAGAGCATATCGGAGAGTACGGCTGCTTGTATAATGAAACCTGATCTTTATGGCTTTTTCCCTTCACTTAGCTAAGACAAAGCTTAATTGCGAAAGCACTCATAAAAACCGTAGGAACAACATAAAAAAAAAAACACATGCACACAACGTCACAGCAACCTAGTGATAAAGCACACAAAGTTTTAACCATCGTTTAAAGCCAGGAAGGAAACACAGACTTTGAAGGGAGAATGTGGTCGGAAAAAAACTTGAGTGACTTTTATCAGAGATCCCTTAAATGTTTGATGGGGAACGGGAATATCGACGTTAGGAAGAACTCTTGGTTTTGTGTTTAAGCAACTGTGCGGCCTGTTGCAGAGAAACACGAAGATTGGACTCCGGAGACATGGTTTACTGTTTTGATAAAAATCTAAAACACTTGACAAACCATTTGAGTGTGACAGGAACATTTATCTTTGATATAATCATTCGAATTGCATAACAATATGTGATTAATTTAAAATCACATTTATGATTTTGGAAACACTTTCTACACAGTTTGAAAATATTAGATGAAACTCGGAAAAGACTAATTAAAAGGAGAAGAAGGACACTGTTGAAGGCCTTTTACATAAATCCATACTCAGAGAACTAGAGTTTATAAAGTTGGGTGCAATGGACTGATTTTGTGCACATCCAAACTGGTAGGATCGGGAACAGGATCAGAAGGAACCCCAACAAATGTAACTGAACACAGCCCAGATTAAAAGACAAACCCTGTCAGAATGTAACAAAACAGAGTCACCATCTTCCAGGTTTTTCTTTTTTCTTCCGCTGCACATTTGTTGAGTCTTCATTGGAACAACCACACTGGTTTCATATTCATTGCTTAGCTTGTGGTCATGTACAGTTCCAGATCAACAAAGGATTGAACAAATCTAACAGTATAAGATGATAGATAATAATTATGTTGACATATATAATGACATATTTGAACCCAGCTTTAAAAACTTTTTAAAAAACTGTTTCCATTAATGTTTAGCTGGGTGTTTGATAGCCAATTTACCATGCTTTGCTGCTTCACAGATGTATTGAAGACCCTCTTCAAAACGACTACTTACTGATTGGTATTTAAGGGAAAAATCTGGTGGTAACTTCCTCCAACACTGGCAGTTATCACCAGCTAAATGAATATCTTTAAGTGGATCACTACTATGTCTGGAGGTACACAATACCTATTTAGGGAATGAAAATGGTCATAAATTTCAGCCTCAGGGGAATCTTACTTACAGAGAACGTAAGGAATGGGACGAGACTGGGTGTCAGCAGCCAGCCAAAGATAGAAATAAAAGATAATGTAGGGAAGTATTGCCCAGATTACTGTATTTGCATCTCTAAAACAACAGAATCTAATGCTTGCCTACTTACTGGACTGAATACATGCACACATCGGACTACCCCTTAACAAGCTGAAAGTGGGTAAACGAGCAGACCCATTAAAGAGTCCACTGTTCACTGTAAACACAGTGCGGTTCTATGGATTTGAGCCCATTGGAATGGACTACGATACGAGGCTGAAGCCAGTATGCTGGCAATAAAACCTTGTACAACTTCCTGCTGCGTTGAAGAAAGAAGAAGGTTGTGTAATAGTTGATGAGGATTTGTGGACATCCGTTCATCCATTAGTCTGCTGTGTACTTTTGTACTCCGCTGCATAAAACTGTGCAGAACAACGGCTGCCTGAATTGTTTGGATGTGTGGAGGTGGAGGAGCCTGAGTGTGCTCCTCCTGAAATGCAGCCAGTTGGGGTAATCAGAACTGTGAGAAAGAGAAGTAAAAACAGAAAGAGAGAGAAAAAAAGACGACAAACTGGCTGAGATGCTGTTAAAGATGCCTGGCAACTGGGTAATGCCAAGTCATAGAGTTATACATCTGGAAGAAATTAATGCTTTTTCAAGTTCACGCTTAATATAACATCAGATATCAGATCAAATCTACAAGCTCACATTAAGGAAGGGGGAATATAATCTAGAGCATCCCCTGGCAAATGATTAGCATTGAAGATCAACCATAAACTAAACAGCAAGCAACAGAATTCTCTTTGAAGAAGAGTCAGTCAACCATTTCAGTGAGTCGGTTTGACATCCAACAAGGTAAACACGACGCCCTGTTTGCCTTAGGCGGTGGCCGTCATATATTTTCCCGCTTTGACATATCGTCCTGAAAGAGAAAAGAAATCAAACACCAATTGGCATGTTGAGTGTAAACACTGGATCACAGAGGCCTGACACACACCCTCCGCTTCATCCAGCTGAGGACTGTGGTTGGTCAGGTGCTGTTAGCTTTGGCTGCTTTTCCAAAGATAAATACACGCTGCTGATAAGGACAACCGATTGGCTGAAGGGGAGTGTGGCCCAGAGGAGAGAAAAGAGTAAAGCGCCCCTGATGGATAGCTAGAATCATCTTTCTGAAACAGCTTGTATTTCCACAAAACGCATAACAGAGGCTACAGGGACAGTACATCTTCTCAAGACACCTAGTCTCTTTAAATCTGGGTTGACACTTTTCCTCCCACGGCCGAGTTCACTCAGTCACGATACAGGAGCTCTGAACGTGAACACAGAATCCCTGATGAGTTTTATGTGACATTTTAAAGGTTTATTTTAAAAAAAAGGCCGTACCAGCAAAAATGCTCGCAAGGAAAAGTGTTGCTCTGTTAAAGGTCTGCAAGCATGAGGAATAAAGAGGTTAAAGTAGGACTGGACTGGACTGTTTTCTGCATAAGATTCTTATCTAATTTTTTAATCACAGGCCCATATCAATCACAGCCACAACTGTATTTAATCCATCATTCCAAAATATTACTAGGGTAATAAAATAAACCAAAAACATGTTAAGGTAAAGACTAGCCTGCTGTTTGTAGGAGCCAGATAAGTTTCCAGGTATCTTCAACAGGTACGTTTTTTGAGCCGAGTTTACTGCCACAGGCAGGGTATGGGGAGCTTTACATTGATGTGACATCACAGCAAAAGTGGAAGGGACCTGAGGTGCGAACAGCTCAGCTTTAGTCAAACAAACAAAGTTCAATGGAGATTTGCCAACCCTCGATAAGTAAGCTGCAACGGCCTGCTTCAGAGGGGCCCCGAGTTCAGCTCCACCTCAAGCGCCATCCTGTAAAACAAACTTACGCATGGCAGAGAGCCAAAACTGTCAGAGACCCCCAGTGATTATAGGATAATAAACACAAACTCTGCAGAAACAATACAGGGCACCATCCTGTGAGGACGAGTGTCTCAGCTGTGCTTTGACACTTATTAGTTAATGTAAGATGGGAAAAGGCTTTCGGAGGAAACAAGATTTATTCAACAACCACCTGCTGCTTCTAAATTACTGTACCCATAAAAATCTAAACTTTTCACGTTCGGTCAGCCTAGGTTGTGTAGCCTTTCATGTTGGTGTCGCTAGTTGTATGACAGAGATTAAAAAAGTATCCTGCTCTTCAGAAAGCACAAAGACAATAAATCATTTGCTCTACCGAAAACCAGTTTGGTAGCACATGCCATATCCTGCTGTGTACGTAAATGCCTGTGCGTGGATGTGTGTGTGGCCTGAGGGCTAACAGTCAGAGACAGCTAACAGGCCATTAGCAGCCGCTGATTGGCAGTCCGTGATCCTCACTCGGGGAGAGGGGTTATTGCACTTGTTTACTGAAACGCTGCTCTTTTTCACTCCCTTTTTTCCGCTCTAGCTTTAGCCCACAGCATCACGTCTGCCCGCGAAGTTGCCACGGCCCATCCGCAGTCAGTGAGCAGGGATGAAAGCTGACAGCTTCTGCCACACAATCGGCTGATCGGGACTCATTATATCACCCAAAGTATCTTTCAGTAGTCCCCAGCCCACCCCCACCATCTCGGCGTCACTGCCTGTGTATACATGAATCAAAATAAAACAGGCCCACACAATATGAAGCGGTCAGGCAGGGGGTAATTAACTGGTAAGCGAGCATAATGAATGTAAAATGTTGCTGGAAAAGGAAGTACTGAGCGGGGAGATGGCTCCTATTTGTTATGTAGCAGAGGTGAGCCAAATTAGAGGTATATTAGTGTTGAAATGGGGGATAGATGCTGATCAGATGTGCCACTTGACTGCAGCACTGTGGCATAGGCAGCTGCAATTTTCCTCAGACCTTTTAACGGCAATCGAAGCACTTGTCATTTAAACATAGCTGCATAATTACAGCTGTTAGTGCAGTAACGTTAAGCGGAACGAGGGCTTGAAACCGTTAGCAATCTCACATGAAAACACATTGAACATTGTGTACAGGAAACATAAACACTTGTGGCTTAATGTACAAAAAAGAGGCCTTTTCTTACATTTTATCAATACATTTAAGAGGGCAGCTTGAATCGTAGTGTCTGATTTGTGAGCTTTTCCGTAGCACAGAAAAGCCTTTAGGAATGTTTAAATGACATCAGAAGCATTGCAGAGCACCTTCGTATCAACAGCAGAAACAGCCTCGCTCCGTTTTCCCCTCATTGGCCTTAATTTGATTTTCTTTCCTCGCATTACAGTAGTGTTACTCTTCCCTCTGTCTGGGAGGCAGGCTTTGATGCTACCACTTATCACTGGTGCCACTTCAAGGGAACCTGCCCCAGTTTTACTTCAAAACTCTGTTCAAAGCAGCTCCGGTCTCTTGTGCCGTTAACGTGACTGTACTATCGTGCATTCCTCTTTCACAAAGGAAGCCATTCATATTTAACAGGGTGACGAAGAAAAGCAAAACATAAAAGGTCCTCCCTCCCTCCCTGCTTACTGTACTCTATCAGTTATTTCGCTCAAAAACGTCAATGTTCTGGAGCGTTGGGTAACGCCAATGGAACATGACCGCAAACCCTAAGCTCCGAGGCAGATCGCTTTATAGATAATGTCGATGTGTCGTCACAGGGACAGGCGAACGCAAAAAGAAACAACATGCTATCAGCAGCTGCACAATATCTATTGTCTGAAGGACAGGATAAGAGAGGAAAGGAAATGAGAAGCCAAGAGAGGAGGAGTGAGGAGAAAGGAGGGGGGGGGGGCAGCAAAGGCAAATGTGAGTCAAGGATTTTACCTGTTCCAGTTTAAAGATGTGCTGGTTGAAGTAGTGCTGGAGCCTTTCGTTGGCAAAATTGATGCAGAATTGTTCAAAGCTGTTGTTCTCATAGTCCTCAAACCCGAAGATATCCAGGACTCCTATAGACAGGATCTGATGGGAAAGACAAGCGGCTAATTTAGTCTGTAACAGTTTTGGGACCAGCTATGGAATAAAATGCAATGTAAATATGAAAACGGATTATCTGGCAAACACTGTAAACAGGAACAAGATTCATGCTGCTTCTTTAACCTTATTTAGTTATGTTTTAATAATGTGTTCCTTTTTATAGGCCATTGTTTACAACCTTAGAGCTCCAGTTGCTCACGGGATGTCGGTAAGATTCATATTCATCATAAATCTTTGCAGGGAGGCACAGGCTCAGAGTATGCCTTTAATTATCAAATGGACTATAAAAGCCATTCCCAATTTAATTGATTTCGTAGAGCCTTGGTTTTATGTCTCTCTGAAGGGCATTTTTCACTCCGCTTAGCAAAAACACACAGGCTGCATGTACAAACCGTCATCTGAACATGAGAACTCTGACCTTGACACAAAGTGCAACCTCATCGACCCCAAGTAATATACACAAAGACTTTTGATGTCGACGCCAAGGGAGGCACAGCTTTGCATCCACATGTTACGGACGGAGATGTTTTTTTCCCCTGATTGCTTCTGACGGCATAGAAGTAGACTTTACGTGTATTTCCTGGCAATTTGCCCAAACTGCATCCATAAACACTGCTTGCCTAACCCTCATCTTTGATGATTTCCATTATGGGCCATTTATTGTTCCTGAAAGAGAAGCAACACTTCACGGTGTGGCTATTTTGTCGCCACATCCCCACAATAAGTGTCATGCAAACAAGCACACACTTATACAGACACACTGCACTGGGACATCAGAGGACCACAGGGAGTAAAACGAGCTAAGGGGGAACTTGATGCCATCTGTCCAAATGTTCCTGGCACTCAGACAGATACACACTCACACACGGTATTATATGCTTTCTAATTCTTTAGACGCTCCCACTGGGTACAGCTTGCCAGCTGCCAATCCACAGCACACACAAAGACAAAAGATGACAAAAGACCAAAAATGACAAACAAAAAACAGTAGGCAAGTAAGAAAAATATAGTGATACCAAGGCTGGTTTAACTGCAACCAATTTTGTGGAAATGTATGTGTCGAGTGCTCAGTTTTAGCATTTCACATGATGTTAATCTGCGTTATGATTTACTCAGTAATTAGGAATCAATAAACTGTCACAATATCTCCTTAAATGACATCCACCCTTTCTTAATAAAGATTTGGTTCTGTGAAAGCAAACCATATATGAGCCCGTTTCTAAAATGACTATTTCAGATTTTTCATTTAAATTGATATGCTTTTAAAAATGTATGTAGTCATTTTTTAATCACATTTATCAGTCTCTTATTGTGTGCTGTAATCTGTTGAATTTGCTCCATTTTTATTTTGGACTGTGCTTTTGAGTTTAAATGTGTCTAAATGACACAATACTCTATGCTATCCAGCTAAAAAGTAATGATTTAATGGTTTCAAATAACCATTCCATCTGGAGAGAGTAAAAGATATGGTGTAAGTCAGATAGTCAATGTGTGTTGGTGTATTTTCATTCCCACCTTTGAATTGTCCTCCAAGTCTTTGTTGTTGAGCAGGGCGTGGTTGGTCCTGAACACAATCCAGTCGAACAGTGCGCTGTACAACGACTTGGCCATCGAGTCCCTCACTGTGCCCGCCTACACACAAAAACACACAAAAAACATATGGATTCTGGTTCATGGACAATGAGCCAATCCTGTGAAGATGCCGTATCATTCCAGTTTGTTGCCTTGCTGAAATAAGTACTCTCTTCTGGTTGGCTTCTCCACTTTGGAGCACAGATTGAATAAAACATAAGGGTACTTAGCTTGGTCAAATGTCTTATTTGGGCTTTCAGCTAAAGAATTATTAGCTTTGGTTGACTGCTAAAGATTTTAATTGGTAGGTGAAACGTGTCATGGATTCGTGAAACCACCATGCTCATGTTAACGTTTGATAAATCTTTTGGCTATTTTGGGAAGCAGAGGATCTGCTCCAACCTCCTCGCGTGGATAAAAACAAAACAAAAACAGTCTTATATGACAGCCGACAGCCTGACTTGTCACAGCATGACGAGCACAAGCAAACTGTCAACATCCACGATGGTTGAGCTCCTTTAGGCGCCCCAGTTAATTTCGACAATGAATCAACACAATGCACAGAAGCAGGACAATCCCTTACGTGGAATGCAGTCATCATTATAACACCTTCGCATTTCCTGCTATGACACGCCGAAAGTGTGCTGTGAAGAAGCTCAATACCACCAGACATACCATTTTTTTCAACTTTACCAGATTCAAAGGCAAACACCTGCTGACAGCAGTGGTTTGAACAAGATCAACACAATATCGATGTTTTCTCTCACTTCCATTGAAATAGATCTTTGCCATGTTAACTGAGGGCGGAAAAAGGTCATGTTGGCTGCACCAGCTGCTGAGCCATCGGATAAGAACGACTGAGAAATTGGCTTTGACTTCTGTTCAGTGGACTATGTTACATGTAATTCAATCGGAGACAAAAAGGGAGAAAGTAATTTCTCTGCACAATTTACATCTAACCTTGGGCCTATAATGTTTGGTAATGTATCTTAATCTGTCATTTCGTCATGTACACCGATGGCAGCTTCATTTAACCATTAAAGACTTAGTAGTAAGTGTTGTGACATTTTCACTGTTCTCCAATCCAAGCTTTCATTTCCAGTAGGTTTTCTTTTAAAAATGGAACATTTCTAATTATTTACAGTTTATTTATTCATTTTCAAAAACTTAAAATATTATATTCTCTGAGTGTAACTGGTTTTATGACTGGTAGTATTTCTTATAGCACCGCTATAAAACTTCTGGTTAAGTACCACCAGACCCAAAGATCGCTGCTTGGATCAAATTTAAAGATAAAAAAATCCAAGAAGACATACAACATATCAAGAAAGTAATATACTACTAATATAATACTAATATAATACTACTCTAACAAAGTCTCTTTTGATGTAATGAAAAGCACACTAATGCTTTAAATGTTGGTTGACCAACAGAAAGCAGTAACAGAAATGACAAGATACATTGTCTCATGTAAAGATTGTTGTTAGGTCATTTCACTGACTTTTTATAGATTGACATAGAAAAATTAGATAGGATAATAGAAGAAATTGTTATTTTCCTTGCCTTAAAACAAATAATTTATAGTCAAAGGCACTGGTTTGCTCCTTCTCCACCCTCTGCCATGTAGAAGTGACAGCATGAGCCATAGACCGCTCTAAAACAGTCCTTTCGCCTTCTTCCTGCCAATGTTGTTCGTACACATGAGGGTATAAATGACATACAAACATGGCGAGGTTGTTTAAGTATCCATTTGCTTGATTTTAAAATGACTTTATCTTCAAATATGTCCAAATTTAGCCGACTTGTTTACCATCGAACACAAATAATTCTAAACTATAACATTTTTGCTGCAATTTCACCTTAACAACACCACAGTGACACACCCGTTTCTCTAAGATCATTTCAGAAATGAGTGTCAATTCATCTACAGCGTGGACATGAAGCACAGTTTCCCCATTTTTAATCCTGCCTCCCTTTACAACCAGAGAAACAGCTGCAAAAACACGGCCTATCGGATTTTCTGAGCAAGCCAAACCAAGGGACAGAGATTCAGATGTCTGGATACCAGCTTATGGGATGGACGCCTCAAAGTCGGGATGAACCCTAATGACGGAGTTTATAAAATATAGAGTATAAACAATTTAAGGAAAATTAAAATGGTCTTGAATTAAATATTTAAAACATATATACAGATATGTGAGGCTTTTGTGACTCATGGTGAACCCCATCGGACCCCGGCTGGCGCAGGAGCATCCACCGTGAACAACTCGTAGGAACTTGCTGATGCCACACTGTCATGACGAAGCAAATCCGCCCTTTCAAAGCCCGTCTCTTCGTTCCTGCATTATTGATCGTTCCCGATTATTTTTAGTAGGCTTGCATGTGACGTCCCTGCTCCAGTGCGGTTATGCAAGAGTGCGATGAATATTTCAACGTTTTAAAAAAGAATTACAACTTTAAAACGTCTCAGGAGAGGATCTCAGGATTGGCAGATAGGATGAGACATGCTCACTGAGCATGTATTGTCTCTGGTGTGTTGCCATGTAACTTAATTTTTCACCAGAATGGGACCAGTTTAGGGGACCGGGAAGAAGCATAGCTGGAAACAAATGGGTTGAAAATGTTTTACTGGAAGGCCACCCAAGACGCAGCGATTTTAATTAGAAGGACTTTATCAGAGACTTTTGTTGACTGTAACAGTTGTGGCTGTTGAACTAAGTCTCGGCGGTGTGCATAATTAAATGGCTCTGAGAGGGGGGAAGTTGTTGCTTCGCTATTTTATCTTTTCCGTCCGCCTAAAAACCACGGGGGGGGGGGGGGGGGGGGGTAATGCACCAGCATGAGTTCACACAGCACGTGGCCTGAAAACTTCCAAACAGCAGGATAGAATGTGTGTAACAGCGTGTATGTTTGTCCAAATCATGTCAACAACCAATTAGCCATCGTGTAGCTGGTGTCTATGTCAATGCCCATATTAGTACGTGTGTCCAAGCTGTTTCACTTCACAATGCCCTTGCATAAAGCTTCAGCTTCTCTTCTAGCTAATATGAGATGGATTGTCTCATTAGAATGCTAGTTGTCTGATTGTTCTCATTCATAGTATTCGTTTCGATGGGTTACGCCCATAGCGAGACATCGAGAACCGGGGTTATATGCCGACACACGCAACTACCCGTTTATGTGTTTCAAACAGGAAGAAGTATGTGAGGGAGTCTGATGAGCTGGAGCACTATCAAAAATGTTAAGGGAGAACTGCTCACCTTAGCTTTGCAGACTTGGGCCTGCAAAAGGATGTCAAGCCCCTACGTTCAAACCACTCTCCAAGTCAAGGATTACAGCTTTCTGCATGTAACCTTTGGAAATAAAATCGAAAAATGACTTGATGAGATGCAGTGGCTAGCCCTGGAGATTAACTTGTGAACTTGTGAATGTGAACATTCTCCATAACTCCTTTCCTGGAGGGATAACTGGATAACTGCGTTCTTGAATGCAGACCCATAGAACGATTTTTGAAAATTTACGGGCTGCTGTGAATGTGTGAAAACATTTTCATCTTCAAAAGTAGTTATTTGTTAGCAAAACATTTTTTTTTTTTTTAATTGAAAAAATTTCACTGAGTTTCACACTGAGCAGAATGTGTTCATTCTTCCTTTGGCACACTAATCAACCGATTTGCCGCGACTAAAACTAAGATAACTGCTGAGATAAGATAAGATAACTTCTAACATAACTTCAGCTAAAATTAAAGTGATAAATTTGAAAGCCGTGGCTATGGGAGAGATTACCATTCCCCCTTCGAACACTGGAAGCATCATCTCTTTGTCAAGGACTTTTCAGAATAGAGAAAGCATTATGATTTTTCAAAACACTCATTACTGGATAGGCCAAGATGTTTTTTTTCTTCCTTTCTCCGAGTCTGCCTTTGCCTACATAAGAATATGAAAAACTGGGAGACGCTTTGATTAGAATATCTGTATTTAACTCTAAGGAGTGCATAGAGACGGTGAGATGTAGAATAAAAAAACATATCAGTGGGAGGTGTGAAGATGTTCCACAACCTTTTACCATCACAGTGAAGGTCTCTTTTGGTGCATATGTGACTTTCAGCATGACAGAAGCACAAGTTTGTGGCTTGCTTGACCCGAGTTATTTTTACTCTCTGCAGCATAGTGTCATTTTAAACGCTGTTGCACCTAGAAGATCAGACTCAGACTAGCCAATATACTCCGTTTTGTCTGTTTAATTGTTCTTGGCAGGCAGTTGGGGAAATACCAGCCTCTGCTGTGCAGCACATTGAGGTTCAGATGGTCAGACGCTGAGACACCTCTTCCAAATCTCCCTGAGACGACCGTGGGTGGATGGGACAGCTGCCTAACACACTTTCTCAAATGTTCTTATCCAACTAGGAATAAATCATTTCTGAGAAGAGAAGCAGCATTTGCCAGGTTCTTTTTTTTTTCCAAGTTTCCTTTGTATAAAAACAGGCGTGTTATGGATTCCACAGGTGGCCTTAACTCGCTCCCACGGCCTTCGGTCAGATCGGGGCAGGCCTTCACCTTCTCTACTCATGTAGTGTGTGTGTGTGTCTGTTCCCATATTTTTATCTTGGTGAGAACTAATTTGAATACAAAGAATTAAGAGACAGGAAATTTCTGGAATGGAAGACATTTAAATCATTGCAGAAGCTTTAAAGTTAAGGTAAAGTCTGGGGATTTCCTGATAAGGAACACACAAACAAAATATTCCTGTACATGTTGGGAAAGTTCTAGAAGGGCTTAAAGATGTCTTGTCCATTTTCTTTTTCTCTCCCCGGGGGCGTTATCCTTATTTTTTGCCGAACTTTTTGCTGAACTCTTTTAGAATCTTTATAAAAACATTGTTACATTGTTCTTCAGCTTCATTGCTTTGCATTGATAAAAAAAACAAAAAAACAAATCCAGATGTTATGAGCACATATCTGCTATCAAAAAAGGAAAAAAAGATTCTGAAGTATCTGAACAACAGGGGCCCCCTGTTGCAGAATCGCTGATCCATTGATCTCCAACCTCCCGGGCTGTTTGGATGTCTCAATGTCTGTCTCTTTTGGCTGCACACTTGCCTATTTTCCCCATACGACTTCTGTGATTTGACTATTATGAATTATTCTTATATCTTTGTCTCCTGATGAAGAGGGACCTATTGGTCTCTACTTCACTCTCTTACTGTCCGTGTGGACCCCTTTAACATCTGATTAAATCACGTCTAGAATAACAAGAGGACACTTTCATGGCACGGCTACACAGGCAGTGGGTCAAAGTTTATCAGAGATGCACGATTCCCTCCTTGTTATATTTCTGATCACACCGCCCGGGCTGTGTAACACAGCCAGTTCAGAAAAAAGGGAATTTATGTGTAAGGAGACAGAGACAAACAGACGGAACAGGGATCTGGTTTCTGGCCTGTGTGCTGTATATTCCAGTGGAGGTTGCACATTCCTAAGACAAGACCACATGACAGAATCAAAGGGGTGTGGGAACAACCATTGTTGGGCTAAACTAGCATGTAGCCGAGTTTGCTAGGAAGCTGCTCGCGTACATTTTTCTTTTTTGAAAATACTCATAAATAAATAGATAAATAAATTTTAAAAAATTCTGTTTTTCTATACCGTCACGCCCAAGCTTTTGGGGACAGAGAAAAAAACAAAAACAAATGAACACCAGCACTCTGTTGCACTGCAACACTCCTCAGTGGAGCCTATCTGGGTCAAGCCGAGGCACCCAAGAGGTATATTTCCCAGACTATGCGTCTAGAGGGCTGTTAGGGGGGGGGAGGGTTAAGAAACACCGCTGTTGCTTGAATCCACAGGAAACGGGAAGTTGCAAAGGAAGAGACCCCCATCGAAAGCGACTCAGACAGAAAGCGGTGGGGGCCGGGGGAATGCCACAACACCCCCTCCTAAGAGTTCCTAAGAATGCACAAGCAAACGCAGAATCTCCCCCTACAGCTGACGTGCTTCATAACGAAACTTTGGGCAGACCGACAGACCTGCAGCCAGCACATGACACAGCCCAACTTTTTGGAGCATCCAAAAGTAGAATAACGCCATTTGGAGCAGAATATTCGGCCGCAGTAAAGGAACTGCCACCTTTAGAAAGCCTGGGAAACAGTTAAGTCATGCAAGTGGCGATAATATGACCACTAGAAAGTCACCTCTGCAAGTTTGTAGGGCACGATGAGCTTCTCTCCCACAGTCACCGTCTTCCTGGTTGTCAGGGCTTCGAGCAGCATCTCCTCCTTCACCTGGAAAAGAAGAAATGATGATGATCACGACATTGAAAGACTAAAATACAAGTTTGATGTGTTTTGACGTCAGCTGAGGAAAGCCAAACACTGTTCATTGCAAAAGGGCTTTGTGCACTTTTCAATTGACAGCCGTCAACCAAAAACACTTTTCTGTTATCTCCGTTAACAAAATACAGTTTATATCATGACCACCAATTATCAAGATTGATTCAAATTAATATAAGAATGTTTTTCTTCAAAGAAAAAGCAAGCAAGCATCTTGAAAAATTGGCAAATGATTTAGAATATTAGATTAATGTCATCTTAGAACCATCATCATAAGAAACCAATACTTCTGGCATTTAAGTTTCTGCATTTAAGTAACCATAGTCAAATATAGACGTCCCATTGAGTAGTTTGCATCTCTAGGGTACACATTAGTCGACTCAGTGGTGGTGATTGTGATATAACAGAGGATTCTTTTCATATCACCCATCTAACCGACGCTTATTCCCCACAGAGCCGAAGCTCATAATAGCCTTGCTGCTTCAATCTAGACCGTCCGACCGAGATAAACCTGTAAACAGTGCTCTTTGTCTTTACGCACACACGCTCCCATTCAGCACAATCCTTATGTGGCCTGTGGCAAACGTGGCCCCGGTCAAACCGCCAATGACAGCGCCCCACCGGGAGAGGCAGATGTCACCGCGAGCATCTGCAGGGATTATTTGGAGAGGGCCGAACAGCTGATGCTGTGACCACACGTTAGCGCGTGCGTGTCTGTGCGAGTACAAGCGTGAGAACATCTGAGAGACAGCATGATGTCTTCATGTGTATATAAAAAAAAGAGAGGCTGTCGGTGTTATCGCTAATACCATTATGGGTCTATTTTTTGCCGGTTAGCGCTTAGGCCTCCACAGAGGCAGGGGGGGGAAACAGCCGAGCGTGCCGGTGTGTGTAGTGGGTCGGTGTTGTGGGGGTGGGTTGGGGGTTGTAATCAGACTTCATTTCACACTGCCTGGTAATCCCTAAACCAGGAGCAAAGCCTATTCTGCAGCCTAGTGATTGGTTTTTGGCTGGTGCATTTTCATGTATTCGCAGCTTGGTAACAGGCTCGCTGTTCCCTTATAATCACGTCTTTAATCCCATAATTCACAGCGGTTTGTCATTGCTTATTTTGAGTCTGTCATTTCCGATTTCAAGTCCACATAAATACAAATGGTCAGTCTTTTCATATCACTTTTAGTGTGATAGACTCTCCTCTTCAATTGCCAAAGCAGACTTAACAAATTCAAACTCTGGCTGGATTCTTTTCTCACAAAGTCTGCTCTCCCTGACCTGGTCTCCAATTTGGAAACAAGAATCGTACTGGCAATTTCAAAATCACTCAACTCTCAACCCCCAGGGGATGTAGTTCGCCAGCCATACATCAGCCCATACATGCAGTGCTCCACTTCCTCCTCCAGCTGCACCTCTGCAGGAAACAGGAAGAACTGGTCGGTTTCAAATCCATTCAGGCATCAGTCTACATGGGCCAACAGAGGTGCCACATATCCATTCACAGGAGCAGTGCAATGGTCCAGTTCCCTTCCAAAATGTGAACTACTTTACAAACCAAACATTTGATACTCACACATACTGAAACATCACCACGTGCACTGTGAGCACGAAGCCTTGATTTCATTCAAACAATCCCAGCTTGTCATGACCCAAATAGAGATGCATTAAGCAAATCTCAACAACGGATGTGACCATTTAATAGACTCTCTAATGCAAAGTGTATTAAAATGAAACTATAAAGCTCTTCATCAATAAAACACCCGATTAAGATGCTTTGATTGAGCTCGTCTGCTCCTCATATATACTTAATTCGGAGCTTGAGCGGGCTACCGTATTCATTTTTAATCTCGCATGTACATGATGTTTGCGTTTTGCCTCTTTACATCAACTCCATACAAAACATGATTTCAAAAAATGAGTTTCACCGACAAATAAAGGCACACATTTCCACAGTGCTTAGAGCTGGAGGGGCTCAACAAACTAAATGAAGCACATGAAAACACACAGACATGGCTGCAAAAATCCAATTATAGCACCGTTTTGCTTTTCAGTGACCTCTTTTGTGACCATGTAATGCTTCATTTCAGCAAAACGGCGGTGCCGTTACCAAATTGAACCCTTCTTAGTACATATTATCCCCATGGTTTGGGCATTTTTCCTCGCCTCTGGCCGGAGAATATTTTTGTTTGTCCCAGCGGACAAACAGTCACTGCATCTACACCAACCTATCAGACATCCAAATAAACTTGAACTCAAACAGTGACCCTTGAGCATGTGGCCAGCATGTGGCTCAGCTCACGTCACGGCCACTCTGGCTCTCTGGGGACCTGCCCGACTGTTGAGGGGGGAACCCTGGTATGCTCTCCGCAGTCATAACATCCCCGCGGTGCTGTTGACAGGAGTCTCCGGCGCACTTTGGACATTGTTTTGTCAGCAAATCAACATGAACATCCTGCTAATTGCTGGAGTTTTTTTTCTTCTTTTACCCCCCTCCCACCCCGCACACACTCACACACAGAAACTAGGAGGTTATATTTTCTCATTTCCAAAGTAAATCAGAACAGTATGCGAGTGTTTGGCCTGTGCTCATAAGTGTGTGTAGTTTAGGCTTCTCAAATGGGAACGTGCTGCGTCATTAGCCCTGCTTGGGGTGTTGACCCATGCATGTCTTCATTCTTCGGAAAGACAGCAGCAGTCTAAACCTGAAGGCCAACATGGAGTGTGTGTGTAGGCTAACAGTGTGTGTCGAGAGCCCTTTTAGTTGGTTTTCAAGAAACAAGTTCAGTTCATTAGGAAAATCTTAATACTGGGATTGCACAGGATGCACGAGCACTGCAAATTTTCTGGTTAAGTTCTACAATCCAGAGGCTAAAAGAAATTTCATGTTAGATTAAAGCTTTAGATCAAAATGCTGCAACTGATATTCATCCATGTGCTCCTAAGTATAAAATATGTGACAATGAACAAGTTTTGTTAATAAGGAAGGAAGTGGTGATTAACCAAATAAGAATCATGTCTGAAGCCCATCTTAGTGACTTGAGATGTTTGCACGGTCGATTGTAGTGTTTTAAACACACAAGAGGAACTGAGAGAGTCAGGGACTTGCTGTTCCTGGTTGGAAAAAAAAAAGAACGCCTCCGCGACAGCATGCCAGCACAAAAGTTCTGAAAATAGCCTCTACACAAACAGCACTTTGTGGAAGTGCTGGGTGGTTGGACGGCTCTTTGGGACCTGAAGCACCTCTTAACTTCCGCCGCCACCACAAACTGTGCTTGTGTGCCAAGAGTACCCTGTCTGCTCTCTGAAAAGCTTTTTGTAAAAATGAGAAATGTTCTTTTTTTCTTTAAACACACACACAGACATGGGAGGTGAAATCAGGTTTTCTAAGGAGCACAGAACAGAGCAAAGGCTTATTCTCTCAAACGGATGCTATCTTGCTTTGATAGAGTTTTGCATGTCTTGTAGGCATGTGATGGAATAACTAAGGCAGAATAAACAAGCTCTGTGGTAAAACCCTGCTTCTATTTGTCATGTTTATCTCCCATCGAGCAGAGCAGAGTATTGCATTTCTGAATAAAGTAAACAAGACAAATGGCATGTTAATGAGACAATTTCCGCTGCAGTTTCAGAGGGTGAAGACAGAATCCTGAGAATCTTCAACAAACTTAGATTTTTTCTCTACTCCACAGTGGTAAAAAAAAAAGCTGCGAGATCTGCAATGTGCTGCTCACCTCCAGCAGCTCGGAGACGATGGGCAGGACCTCTGGGTTACAGATGTCGATGGAATCATCCCTGTAGGTCTTCTTCTTGTAGCGGATGTTTCCCAGGTGAAGGATGGCCGACAGCAGGGAGAAAATCCTGACAGGGGGGGACACACCATCACTGTCACATTCAGGTTACTTTGGACAATTACTCTTCCGAGTTATCCATTTGTAAAAGAGAAAAAACAGACAAACAATCGAGGACAAGCTGATAAAAGAAGTTCCACTTCTAACAGGCTACCAAACGATCTTACTGTTTTCGTGTGGTGGGTAGGAAGCCGACCATCTCCATGGCCAGCTGCAGCCGCTCAAAGTCATGTTTCAGGTCCTCTCCTTCTACTGTGAAGCAGTCCTGCTGGTGTCGGAAGAAAACATGCAAAGACAAAACACAGAGAAGGAGACAGAGAGAGAAATCAACACCAGAAGGATTTTTTTTAAATAACGACACAACTCATCAATCAAATAATTACAATAAAAAAACAAATCCACTACTCTTTGAGAGACTAACGTCTGTATCCTCTGAGTGTCTATCAAAGCCGATAACCATTTTGCAGAGAAGGGTTTCAAGCAATATTAAGGGCATCGTGACCACCAGTGGTAGAATGATTCTAACATTAAAGCAGGGATCCGAGGCATAACTGGGGCTTTGTCCTAATCAAACAGTATTTTCCCTAACCACAGGACTCTAAAATACACCAAAAACAAGGCTAAAACAAGACATTAACAATTGCTTGTCATTGAGGAAACTAATACCAATCAATGGAGCTTAAATATTTACTTTAAGAAAACGTCCACCAAACACAACACCACTGGTCATTACCCATTAACAGCTTTTAGCAATCGATATATCAAATTCCGCATTTTCTTAACAGCAAACAGCCGAATCAGCAGGTAGCGCTTATTTCTGCAGGGGAGCATCAAAGCCACTGCTGTGCTGCTGGGGGAAACCCTGCGGAGCAAACCCCGGCACATTCCGGAGTAATCACGAGACACCGATATCATACAGTGTTTGTTACCAAGTTCGACATGAATAAGGCCCGTCACGGCTGAGACACTCAATGAATGAGCGCAACGTTGACTAAAGGAGCGCGTGTGTGTGTGTGTGTAAGCGCGCTTATGCAGCTATCACGCGTCTCCTCGGGCCGTCCAGTCAGTCAGTATGTCTCTGCTCCAAGCGGCGAGCCTCTCTCAGGCTGTAATTAGCACATACCACAGCGACTGGCCAGCAGGAGAAGACACAGGAACCTATAATCCACACTCTGAAGCTGCATTTTCTATACTTCACCCCTCTACTCTCCTCTGCATCTCCATTGTTTTCCTATGGTTTATAAATTGCCAGAAACAGCAGTGCCAACAATCAGTGTTCTTCTCTTTAAGCTTCTCTTTTGAGATGTGTGGGGGGGGCTTTTTGAGCCAGACCGAGCAAAGGCAAGCTTTCAAATTGCCAGGTATGTTCCAACTCCGCACCGACCAGCACAACGTGATACACTGAAGGAAGTTGTGAAAATAAAGATCCATTTCAACAGTTGTGAGAGGGATGCTTTGGTTGAAGAAATAAAAAATTATAATAAAATTACAAAAACTTGGCCATCGATGCTTTGAAAAGATAGGAAAGTACGACAAATGCCCAAGTGAAGTGAGGAGATGATGAAGAAACAGCTCGCTCTCATCTAAAACGATGAGTCTCTTCTCACTTCAGAGCTTGCAATTGCAATTTTATGCCAGTTCTGGTGCAACTGGGCAACAAATGCACTCAAAAGTGAGAGCCCCGTTTGACTGAGCACATGGAGCTGTGTAACAGATCTTCTAAGGACTCTGTTAACACTGTGGCTATGTGCGTCCAGTCCACACTTAGCTGTTACTTACCATGACCTAGTCATGATTTATGTCCTCAGGTCTCCAAGGCGATTTGGTGCCAAATACAGCATGCCACCCCATCACTAGACATTCCACACAACCAGAAAACCATAGACACCCAAACAAGGATTAAATACAATTCCCAAACCACCGAAGCCCAGACCCAAACACCCCACGGCACTCGTCGGAAAACAGACAACCAGAAAATGTTTGGTCTTTGGGATCTTTAGGCCACACTCACATTTTCTTCTTTGCGTGTTTGTTTTTCTATTTTTGGCTCCAGACGCCGCATCTGGAGTTTTGTGTACACTAGTCACTGTTCAAAGCTCTCGGTGTCTCCGTTTACTGCATCGCAAACTGACCAGTGGTACAGGTCAGAGGTTAAATAGGCCCGGGGGGGGGGGGGGGGGGTCAGATGCCCAGACAGCTGCCGAATGCTACCAAACTTTCGCTGCGTCTTTGTGCGTCTGTGTGAGAATGGTGACATCATGTCCATGGCTGACAGGGGTCGCAGACTGATGAGGTCACTCAGTGACCTTTTGGGGGAGACAGTGTGTCAGCAAACTGTAAGATGGAACGGTTGTGTAAGACCAGAATATTTGAAGACGAGGGAAGAACTGAGATGGGAAGGAGCACAAGAAGAGATGCATCTAAAAACTCAGTATTTCGACAATCTGAGGGAGTGGTTGAGGTGTCTTTCATCTGTCATTTTGGCATTCAGGATGGGATTAGTTGCAGATATTTCAAGCATGTCCTTTGACAATCGTATAACGCAACACTTAACTTTTTTACAAAGGCATTACGTTTTTTTTTATTTTTTTATATTTAAACGGATGATGATTTAGGCTTCAGTTAGAAGTAGATATGGAAATAAAACCATCATATCCTAAAATCTGGTAAATAGCATCGATCAGGTTGGTTTTGAGGTTTAAAAAAGTATTAAAAGTAATCTCAAGCAGCTTCAATCAGCCTCTTTATAGGGCAAAGAAATGTATCTAAAAAATACCGAAAACACTTAAGAAAAAAATAGTAGTGTTCAAATGAAGTGGACATAAAAACAGACATGTCCGCCGTTAAACTCTATACTAGCAAGGGTTTGAATATGTTTTCTTGTTAGCAAGAAAACAAGTTCACCAAAACCTTTTCCCTTTCCACATTATGACAAATGGCTTCCATCTCCACAGGGGTGATCATATGTTGCATCATGTCTTTGTGTTTTCTGTTCTAGATTTTCTTCGAACAGAGAAAAAAACAGGCCAGTCCATTTGTTGATGCTAAAGAAAGTGTCTTTGTTGTGTGTGTGTGTGTGTGTGTGTGTGTGTGTGTTTGTGTGTGTGAATGGTTTAGAAGGTTCGAAACAGGTGTTTTCATCATGGGTTCACATTTTCTTTTCAAAAAGGCATTCCAAGATAAAGCCAGGAAAATAAACTCAAAGTCTTAAAAGCTCCCTCTGAATTTTCTTAACCCTTTCCTACAGAAAAATCTATTTCAAATCTCTTTCAAATTTATCTAACAAAGAGCTATGGGATACTCTTTCCAGTGGGGCTGTGAGGTGTTTATGTTGTAGACAGAAATTACAACAGGCGTCTCTACCTTTACCAGATTTAAGGAGATAATAGCTTTCATAGCCCATTTTTTAAGGGAAATGCAAGTCTATTTTGATTCTTTTGTGAAATGGGTGAAATTTCAATTGTTTGGTTGGGGAAAAAAAGAGATAAAAAGGGAGGAGTGTTGAAGCCAACATCAAGAATGAAATACTGTAAGACCACAAGTTATTTATACAATCCGATTCTCATGTCTCGCGTGTTTGCTAACCGGCAATGGCAGAGTAATACAACCCGCCATGCGGACATATCGAATCCCTTGAACACACATGCTACAGAATCCCGCTGACCAAACATTACACACTTCAGGTGGAGGCTTGCAAGACAGCTGCAGGCTCGAGGGGCCAGTGAGTCAGCAAACACACATAACCAATGGACCACACACCTCGTGGGGAAGTTTCAGGATGCAAGGCCCTATTGATCATTTGGAAAATCTTCTCTTGGAACAAAATAGAAATTAAGCATGTGAGTTGTTTCGGTTTAATTAATTATTGCCCATCATTAAGCCTCCTTGGTGTTTCTCGGATCTTGTCCAAAGTGCTGCCACTATAGTATAAACATTTGTCAGAATTATCGCTTAGTTTAAGTATTTTACACACTCGACTACCTCCTGGGTCCATAGGAGGTCCTCTCTGTGCTTATATCTAGTGTCAAAGCAACTCACAGCTATTTTTTTTAAGTGAAAAAATGTGTCATTCGATAAAAAGAGGTCAAGTCAAGTAATAAATAATATCTAATGTAATGAATAGACAGAAATCCTTAACCTTTCCCCTGGAGATGGCAGTGTCCATTTCACGGCAAACTTTGTTTGAAGGGATTTCAAGAAACAGTTTTGACTGTTTGGTTCAACAACACAACCATTTTTTTCATATAAAAAAAAGAAAAAAAAAACGTGTTAATTTTGCAAGTTTTGAATGAGCAAAATTGGGATGAAATGATCGAATACAATGAGTACTAAAGTATCCCTTCAAACGCTCGTCAAAAAGCACTGATTGCCTCCCTCTTTAGTTCGGTCTGCTGTAAGCGTGAACAGCCAACAAGACCAAGGACTGGCACCCAAAAAAAAGCTGGCGCAGCAACGAACACCCGCGAACACGGACACACACATCAAGCTCGTCGTCCACGTGATACTGACCAGCTCACTTTCATAGTAATTGTCCCAGTGGTGTTTGTGCGATTTCTTTGTCATCTGGAAGCAAGGCAGAGCGGGTTAGGGGAGCCGGAATCACACGTACGCACACGCACACAAAGAGGAAACAAATAAATCAACGACGAAAAACAATTGGGGGGGAAAATGCTGCATTCTGATGAAAGATCTAATCCACACACACCAGCAAACGCATGTCCTGAACGCTGTGATGTTTATATCAGAAAATACTAAAGAGTTGCATGCAACTCCACAAACATGTGATCAAAGAAGAAATAGTGCATTTAAAATTCAATTCAAGCATGATTGAATGTACCTTTTACTTGTTGTTTAAGGGTATGCTATCGGATGCCATGACTTCTAATATGAAATACGATAATGATAGCTGGTTAGAGTATTTAAGAAATGCATGGCAATGTCCCAGTATAGGCTACATTTGCTTTAACCGTTTAAAGCCCGATCCAAGAAAAATAGGAAGAATATTGGATTTGTTTAGTCTGAAGTCTTTCTTTGGCCCCTCAACAACATATCAAGAAAAAAAACAGAAATTATTTTGATCAAATTAGCGTGCAATAAGTCCAAAATATATACTGTTTGGTTTAGTCTTCCACTGGCTGTTATCAGGTATGTCTGAATGTGTACAACAGGGGTTTCAGCAAAGCTTTTAGCACTCAATGATGCAAAAAGTCTCAGATCCAAAAGACTTCAGAAACCGTATGAATCAAATATGATAAATTTGGCATTATAGGGTTAAGTACACATTCAGGATCCACCTCTGCTTTTTCCCCCCCTCCCATCTGCATTTCTTGAAAGTTGGAAAAATATAGATTAGGGTTTCAAAAACACGCAATAACACATGCGTCAAAGTTTTTATTTCCACGCCGTGTTGTGCGACATAAAGAGGTGTCCCAATTTCCTAGAGCTAGGTGTGCCGCCCGCAATATGGAACTTTTCAGCCGGATCTCTAACCAAATCAAAACTTGAACAACCTGCTCTTTCCATCGTTAACTCCTTCCTATTCAGTTAAAATTGAGATGATCAATTAGTTCTTAGTAGCAAAATTATTCTTAGACATCAACATCTTAATCACTCGATTGCTGCTTTGACATCCGCATAGTTCTAGAAGTGTGTTTTGTCAGTGAATCATGAATTGTTCTTTTAAAAAAATTGTTCTAAAGTCAACAGACTCTCTAAAAGTCCCAATAACAGGTCAGAATCCCAGTTTTAAGGGTTAATCCTTGATTAGTTGTACTGGATTAAGTGTTCACAATTCAATCTATCCATGAGGGGAGCACATTCACACACACACATACACACACACACACACACACACACAAACAAACACGGATATCCATCTCTGTGAGGACCAAAAGGTAAACATGAGTAAAATCCTTGGTCTTTTGTGAATACAGTGCGAGGACTGAGAGTGGTGGTGAGACTTCTGCTGCTTTCAGCCCATAACCAAATCAGTGCCAGACTGACTCCAGAGTTTCACAGTTTCCATGGAAACAGAGCTGCATGGTAACAGGCAGCGAGAGGGGGGGTTGTTGTTGATGATGCTGTTGTTATTGTTGTGAGGATTAAAGAAAAATTGGATTTGAAAAAAAGCCCATTTAAAAGACAGGAGAGGGAGAAGAACAAAGGAGATTTGTTTTCAGATTTTTTTTCTTCTCCCTTTTTTTTGGCTACCCAGCATGTTGCTGCTGTACTGTAAGAGGAGGGAATATGAATTTTCACGCATCAGCTGCCAGCGAAAAACAGATGTACTGCAAAAGATGCGCGCATATGTGGGGCCCTGGGAATGTTTTCAAGCATGTAACGCGCACCCAGCAACCCACATGAGGCAACACACACACACACACAGACACACACACTTATATATACATACACAGATGCCCGGTTATGAGCTGATGCAATCAACACTTGTGAGCATTATGAAGGGCTCCAAATAGGAAAATTTGGTAAACCGAAGACACAGATTAGAGGAAAGGAAACAATAAAATCAGTTTTATCGTTATTTTCAGGATTTACATCCGTGTCAAACGTATTCTGTGCCGACCTGGTTGAGGTAGTGGTACTCCTCAGGTCTGAGCAGGTGGAAAGCTGTCCTCTCCTCTTCACTGGCTCCGGCCAACAGGTAGTAAAACACATGGTAGTTCCTGGAGACGCACACCAAGGTAGAGGGTTACAACTTAAACACAGTTTCTGTATTGATTTCCAGCACAATCTTAAACTACCTAATAGGTAAACTGATAAGAGCACCATTCTAAAAATCCAGAGCAGGGGAAAAACATTTGAGTGCCAGCTTGTGCTCTTACACAAACCTGCAACATGCTATAAATGACTCACACCTTTGAGTCACGCGTCAACGTAATGAGCTCTGATTAGCGGTGACAAAGATCTACTCAGCAGAAGGACTTGTACGGATTGATGGCTTGCTAAACATATATAAAGAGCCAAATATATTTGATATACATACCAAATAGGTGGCACAATGCATTTTATAAGGTCAAACATAAATTTGAAGCTGGACAGGAAGTGTGCACTTTAAATGAATAATAAAATTCCTTTTTTTTTTTCACTTTCAGATCTGACAACCATATTCATTATAATCAGGTATTGGTGTGTGACAAAGATGGACTAAAAATTTACCTTTACTAAACAACTAATGAGGTAACTTAATCCTTTATGTTAATCCAGGTTGGTTGTTTGATCTAGCCGTTTAAAAAAAAATATATATTTTCACTGTGCAGCATCCCAAAAAGTCAAGAAAGCCTCCTCTTACACGGGCTTCTCGTAACTTATCTGGTTGTTCTTCGTCATAATTTTGTATTTCAGTTACTAATAACCAGTTGAAACACTCAGAACAAATAGAAATGAAAAGAAGACTTTTCTCAATTTACCACCACCGCTTTAAATATCAGTCTCTAAGTTCAGCAGCATCCCTTGAAAGCTCAGAGTTCACTCCATGGTGTTATTCTACATTGGGGTCACCCAGAGGTAACCTGTCACAGGTTTAAGATTTAGGATGGTTAGCAGTTTATCATCAGCTGACCTGCTACCCCACCTTCATGCTTCTGGTCAGAACAATCTGGGAGGTCCTGTCTTTGGTTTCTACCCCATCAATATGGCCACCACCGCTTGTCATCAGGGTGAAATAGAAAGCCCAGGTCAATAAGGGTTACATAGATTAAATGATTAGTGGTGGCTTTTCCCATTTTTTTCCATTATCCTAAAGCCTTTTCTTTCTTCTTCCTCTTTTTATTGAAATCTGAGTGATGCGTGACCATTTTGGTGTGTTCAGTGTCTGAGTTATAGCAATGTAGGAATCAGATCTAGCTAAATTTCTAACAAAGAAAAACTAGAGAAAAAATCAGTTCAATGTAATTTAGAATGACAAATGGCATTAGGCTAAGCACTGACATAAATTCTCCCCCAACAATATTTCCTATAATGTCCCCTCTGTCAATAAAAAGACAAAATGGCCACACACACAGGGAAACTAAACCATTAAGAAATTGACAAAGGCCAGTTTTGGGGAGACAGCTCATGAATCTGAGTTTGTAAAAGGAGAGACTTCAGTGTTGGGTTTCTTAGACATCAAAACTGCACATAAGCAATATGTATTTAATATGTTATCTCAAAAAGAGAAGTAGGACTATGGCCCTGAGTGTTTCAGATTTCTTTTTACAGATTATCTATGGTTGCACCCCGTCATCTTAAGGCTATGGATATATTTCTTCTTTTTTATTTTATCTCCACATAAACACACATACATTTATTTGCTTTTTCTCTTCAACAGCAACAATCTCTCAGTTTCTTGCGAGTCTTTACAGTGCCCAAAAAAATGCTTATTCCATAACCCTTTAAAGCCCGATCCAAGAAAAATAGGAAGAATTTGGGTTTTTTTTTTAGTCTGAAGTCTTTCTTTGGCCCCTCAACATCATATGAAGAAAAAAAAACGGAAATTATTTTGATCAAATTAGCGTGCAATAAGTCAAAAATATATTTTGGTGTAGTCTTCTACTGGCTGTTATCAGGTATATCTGAATGTGTACAACAGGGGTTTGAGCAAAGCTTTTACCACTGAATGATGCAAAAAGTCTCAGATATAAAAGACTTCAGAAACCGTATGTATCAAATATGATACATTTGGCATTATAGGGATAAAAATGATATTGTGGTAAGTAAGCCAAACCGGTGACAGGTTACCAGTGATTAACCGATCTGTACCCACAGCTCGAGCCTCAAACCAAAACAGAAAGAAAAACTGCAACATCTGTAGCGCTGTTGCCTTCACTTACCTCTCATTGTGCTCCTGGTACACTAGACGGGATTTCTCCAGCAGATACTTCTCTACATATGCTCTGAAATATAGAAATAAATTAATTAAAAACAAGCATGCGCGGTCAAAGGAGGGGGACAAAGCCCACGATGATCTGACAAGGAATCAACTCATCCTGAAAGAGCCGCCTGCGCTGAAAATAATTACTACAATTAAATCGATAACAGCGCAAGCGTCCGCACGGCTGAGTGAGAACATTCTGTAAACAGAGAGCACGCGCTGAGCTTTGCACACTCCGGCATCCTGGCTCCAAAGTGCTGCTGAGCTTTGCACAGACAAAGAAAGAGAGAAGCCTACGCATTAACAAGCTATTCTAATAATTTCCCTGGCTTTCCGTACTACGTCTGGACGATTACAGGTTATTTGATTGGATTTTTTCCTTTGCGTCAAATATTGTGGTGATTGTAGATTTAATGAATTTACTTACATTTACATCTATTGATCACCCAGAACATTACAGTTGTGATATAAACCCGGGCGTGAACTTGGGTTGGAATGACATAACCATCTCGTCATCACTGTCTCCGTTTCAATTCAATTCAATTTTATTTATATAGCGCCACATCACAACAACAGTTGTCTCACAGCGCTTTCCAAACAGAGCAGGTCAGACGCTACTCTAAAGTTAATTACAGAAACCCAACAGTTGCCAACATGAGCAAGCACTAGGTGACACAGGCAAGGAAAAACTTCCTTTTAACAGGCAGAAACCTCGAGCAGAACCATGGCTCAGGGTGGGCGGCCATCTGTTTAAGTCGCTCTTCTCGCCATGGATACCTCTTAAAGGTTAAGGTGGCGTCAGTTTGTTGCAAAAGCAGGAAGGAAGAAGGGAAAGTTTGGTAGGCGGCATTCTCTGATCGTGTGTGTGATTTTGCGGTACGTGTTTCTGAGTGTGTGTGTGTGTCTCACCCCCTGACGGTGCCGCTTTCCTGATAGTTGACCTTGATGAACTTCCCGAAGCGGCTGGAGTTGTTGTTGTGCGCCGTCTTGGCGTTCCCGAAGGCCTGAAGAGAGAAAGAAGAGCCATTCGCGTCAGACAGGTGGCGATTTAAAGCTACAAAAAAAAGAAACACTACACCGTTAAACAAAAACATAAAACCTCTGCTACATCGGAGATTGGGGGCCCGAAAGAGACACACACAAACTCACAGTTGAACTCGCACTCAGACCCATCAACCATGAACTAAACTGCCAAATTCCTGTGAAAGCGAAAAGTCCAGCTGAAAACAGACCGAGGGAGCCCATCATTTTAGGCCCCTAGGGGACCAATTCCATATCTCATTAGGGGTCTGATGAGCCCTGGTGGGGTGGGTCAGTTGGGTAAAGAGAGGAGAAGTGAGACAAAAGATGCCAAGAAAAGAGGCAGAAGTGAGGGAGGAAAGCCCAGTTCAGAGAGGAGACGCACAGGTGGAGAGACAAGTGAGGAAGGAATGAGTCAAAAAGAAAAAAAGACGATAAAGATTAGAACGGAGGAAATGAAGGCTGAACAGAAAATCAAACGCAAAGGGAATATATAACGCCAAATGTATCATATTTGATACATACATTTTCTGAAATGTTTTGCGTCTGACACCTTTTGCATAATTTCATGGTAAAAACTTTGCCCCAAATCCTATTGTACACAATCAGATATACCTGATAACAGGGGGCAGAAGACTACACAGAAAATAATCTTGACTTATCGCATTGTAATAAATTATTAATTTAAAAAAATTATTTTTGTTTTTTGTTTTTACATATTTTGTTAAAAGGCAAAATAAAGACTTAAAACAAAAAAAAAAGTAATTTTCTGTTTATTTTTATTCTTGGATCAGGCTTTAAAGGGTTAAAATAAAAAAAGACAAATGGAAAATCAAAAGAGATGGGGTGGGAATAGAAAGAAGCCAAGATGGAAATTGGGCTGAATGTGAAAGGATTAGGGAGAAAATTTGAGGAGATGAGAACAAGTTAAGAAGAAAAACCAAATAAGAGACTGTCGAGAGGAGAGGAATGTAGCATCATATGGGTTTGTTACTGTTCAGGGCAGCAGATTCCCCTAGCATTGGGCAGCTGTGATAAATGACTCGAGAGGAAGCAGCAAAAATGCAACAGAGGGGACAGAAAGGGAGGAACTCCGAGAGAGGTGGGCGGTAGATAATTGATGGTGGGTGCCGGGTGAATCCTACAGCTCTGGAATAACACGGTTAACACAGAAATCCTGTTTCTGAACTGGGCTTTGATCTCTGCTGTGATTCATTCAGAAACACCCACACTCACATACACACACACACACAACCAGCTTGGTGCACGCTCAGGAAGACACTGAGGAGAAAACAGCCAGAGGGAGGAAAGTGAAAGACTCGAGCTGATGTTTACGTTTCTCTTCTCTTCTAATTCTCAGTATGCTTGTAACCCCCAAACAGTAAGTCTTTCATTCCTCTTTCAGAAAATGTAGAACCATTTCTTCCCTCCAACGCTGCCCCTATTAGGACATAATATGCATCCACCTCTCTGGGGTCAAAGACACAGGGACAGACGGATTTGACTTCCAGTGAGCTCGCCATCATTATCACGATGTGTAAATCGAAACTGCAATTCGCATGATAATGACACAGCTTTTGGGCCTCTGTAATTTCAGGACATGAGAGCCGTTTTTGTGGCAAAAATATTTCCAGTTTGGAGTTTCAGGGGGGAAAATCCACTTCCTGAAATGATTGAAACGGGCTCGCCAGCGGTGTAGAAAAACACAACGAGAAAGAAAGAGAAAGAAAGGCCTGTCTTTTGCTACGACGCAAGAAAAGAGGGATCCCAAACATGTCAGTTTTTCCGGCCGGCATGTGCGCCATGTGTGCACGCATGTGCGTGCGTCTGAAAGAGATTAATGAGGGGGGGGTGGCGACGTTCGGGTGATTTAATGGCGAGCTCTGTTTCACGGTCAACGCCTGCTGTGACCGCAGCACAGGAAAAAAACACGCCGCGCATGCGGGTGCCGATCCACACGGTGCGTGCAAAACACATGAGCGTGTGGACAAACCATGAAAGAGAGAGAGTATTGTCAGCTTCTCTATATTAAAACCAGAGACATGGGTGGGACATGAGCGCTTAGAACAGTATCTAAAAGAGAATAAGCATCAAACCCAAAAAGTACTCATCCGAAAAAAAGCATTCAATCAAATCTTTTTGCATCATCGTGGTGCGGAACATTAAATAATTAGGTACAACTATAACAAAGCCTGCCTCGAGGCTAATGAAATGGGATATGAGAGAAACAAGAATGGGGGAGAAGAGGTCAATCAAACAAGGGAAACTTTATTTTAATTGACCCGCTTAATTCTGATTACTGTTTATAATAAGGAAGACACAGACAATTTGTAGTGTCAATCTCCTCTCAATTCCTGGAACCAAAGACTCATAGGACGCAAAACAAGACGCCATTAAGACCCTACAGAAGTTGTATTAATTATGATTGGAGAAGGAGCCCTAATGTGGTCTTGGAGCTTTGGAGTGTGAATAGGGAAGAGGTCAGGCATTTTAACAACAGTGATTTTGGTTCATTTCTCGTTTTGTTTTGTTTTTTCCAGTCAGTGTTTACGCTTGCTCCGGGAGAACATGCTTACTAATGCAACTGCAGAGATGAGTGATGCATGTGCTGTTGCTTGGAAGTCGTTTTTCAAGCCACTGCACAATGCTTCCCCGACCCAAATCGCACCAAAGACTAACCACACCTTCGCCACATGGCCGTCACACCAGAGGATGGATCAACCGTTCAACATTGATTTGAGACTTTAGCGGGTAATTTTAGTAGTCAATGGCATTTGGTTTTTTCTTTGGTTGGCAAAGAAGAGAGGTGAAACTGTGTCCCCTAAATTAAATTTACAAAAAGTCAAAGTTAACACAGGAACTGTCATTGTTTTCTAAAACATTCATGTGGAACATTTTTAATAACACTAGTGTCATAATTTACTAGTATGACAACAATGTTGATGTTAACCGTGTACAATATGGATAGTGTGTTGATAACATGATTTGATCTCAGCTAATTGAAATCAAAACACGTTTGAATGGTTATTGGGGCTTCTTAGCCTTGTTTTTTTTTTCATGTCATCATAATTTAGAATGAATGGTTCAGGCCATGTAGTGAAATCTAATATTTCAAAAGCCATTGAAGTCTTACAGTTGCTGGAATCACTTTGTTACGCTACATTTACTTTGATGCATAAAAACTGATAAACTTGGTCATTAGGATTTATTTTATTTTTTTAAATAATGTCTTGGAAAACAAAAACTGGATTTATTTGGCACATAACCCAGAAGACCAATAAATGAAAGCTAAAATGAGGCCAAAGAAATGGATGTTAAGATAATATATGCATTAAAAACTAATGGAAAAAACACGTTATGTCTGATACGATCTAATCTGCCAACATTCAGTTCAAATATGTAGAAGGAAGTAATTAACTCACTGTGAAATGACATTTCACTGAAACATGGAATTAATCAGACTCACTATGTCGATCCAAAATTTATCCCAAGAAAATGCAGCGCTTTGCAGGCCAATGAATATTTCATTCATATCAAATCAAATCTGCTGACCCAAAGGTTTAATCCAACGGTGACAATGTGTGTGTGTGTGTGTGTGTGTTTCTCTGAGTCCATGCTTCAAACGGACAGTATGCAAATGTATGCTTATGCAACGTTATGGCCCTGAGGGCTCTTCCACGCTGTCGCATTACGTTAAACAGTTGCTTCCCTCCACAGCTGGGGAAAAAAAAACCTGGGTACAGTCTCTCGGGAAGAAAGCAGCCGTGCAAAATTTATGCTAGCTTCTTGGGGAGACAGAGAGATGGCGGTCTAGAGTGCCTGTTAGCATGTTGAACGCTCCATAAAAGCAGTGGCTGTGCCCTCCTTCTTGGCCTTATTCCTTTCAGGTCAATCATAATCTGAAAAACAAGTTGAAATATCCCAAAACCATAGAATAAAAAACCATAAAAAACCATAGCATCCATTAGCTTGTTGTCCTGGTGTCAGGCACCAAATAGAATAGAAAAAAAAAAAAGACATGACTGAAGTTTAAGTTTATGGCTTCAGATCAAGGATATGACATAATATTTGTATTATTTACTTTGTCTTGTCTTTGACTTTAAGACAACATTGAAGAGCAAATAACAGTCTCTGCTAGGCATTGGATAGGTTAAGTTCTCCATCTTCTTTTGGTAGCTGTTATGCTGACACGATCAGACTAAAGAACAAGACCGTGTGTCCAAAAGAGTCTACATGTCATCATTTGCATGTACACGAGCCATCGATTAAAGACTACAGTCTTGAATGGTGACTTTTCTGTTATTTCACGAGGGTAACAAGACCCGCGTCCACATACAAGCTACACACTTTAAAATGAAGACTTTCGAAAGATCAATCATAGGTCTCACTAAGAAACCGAAAAGAAAAAAGGAATACAATGATGAAAATGGTTTCTGATGGGTAATAAATTACTGCTTGCATTCAGTTCCTTTGATATTATTATATAACAGTATACATCTTCTCTTTTATCTTTGTCACAAGATAAATCTGACATTTATCTTTCAGGTTCTCTTAAAGGAAACACAAAAACTAACTATTTGGATCAATTCTGTTGGCTATTTATTCACTTTAAAGCCTGGCAGTTTTCCATTAAGCTTCTGATTAAATTAAGCCAGGTTTTTAATCTGATGGGGGCGCAGGAAGTGTGCAGTCAGTTTGTGATGCTAATCATTCGGCTAACTTTCCAGTATGCAGAGTGATCTCTCTCCGTAATCCACTGCAAAAGTTTAACTTTTTCCACCATGCTCAGCACAAATACTGGAGAGACACGACAACAAAAACAGTGCTTAATACACTGGTTTTTACTTACAGCATTCCACATAGGAACAAACTAATTTCTGCTTCTCCAACATATCAACACACAGGTATGAGGGAACAATGCTTAGGTACAAAATTCCACACTTTAACATACCAGCTTCCATTCAATAGAGGCTTTTTATACCCT